ATGTCGTGCGTACCTATAATCCCAACTATTTTGCGCCCCGACCGTCGCACATATCACATATACCACCGGAGAACCTGACTTTCCCCACGCTACGGCCAAAAGGCCGCGCCTTTAAATGCGTTATCAAAATGCAATCTATGTGGGCAAGGTAAAAATTTTAATCCCTATTGCGATAGGCCCCATTTGGAGCGCGGGTCAGTCCTTGAAGTAAAGCAAGAAACTATAAGCCAAATAAGAAAAAAAAAAGGTGGAAACTCGGTCTCTATGGCAATTACACCTTCCGCCGGCCTACTTCGGGCGTAGCTTGTACAGGTCCCGGGTTTGCCTAACAATTTTCATCCCGGCTTCATGGACTTCGCTTCGTATGCGCGACCACTTTGGTCAATCTCATTCCCTGCCGGTGTCTTTGCGTGAGGTTTTTATTTGCCAACCTAGTATTGTCGACTACCAATGGTCACCTACCGTGCCACGCAATAACACTCACCCCACACACTCTCTAACTCGATCGTACTTGGCTCTGATTCTCGTCACGGGCGATATTGTCAAGGTGCGCGTTCCGACGGGGTCTGTCACATTAGGGCGCTTTTCTTATCAACACCACACCAGTGTGACCTTCAAAAACAACAATAAACACTCTTGTAAGTGTGTTTCCCCTCCGTCGCTTACCTTTGGAATTATCTCATCAAATTTCATGCTCAGTATTATCTATCTGTATCAAACATTTTCTTTCTCCATGTTATCTAATTAAGATCAATTTCGTTCATTTCGTAGTCGTCTTGCTGATCCCGGATAATTCTTACCGAGCTCATCACTCTCGTTATTGCTTTTTGGTATAGTAAGGTGTTCAAGTCATCTTATGGTCATGCCTCAGTAGTAAGCATGAGTAGTTTTACTAGCATATACAATTCCTTGTTTCTGATTGTAGTTATGATAGTTTTCATGTTACGTTTTGCATGTGAATTGTAACCATGCTCATATCTTATGTTCGTTCCAGATTCGTGACTCAGGCAGTAATATCTTTTGATGTATGACTTGTAACTTCATATGAGAATCATTTTTAATTTATAATTTGCAACTTAATTCACGAACTGTTCCTATCCTTTAACCTAAGTTAGTTACGTGAATGCATCCAACTGTATTTGGTAGCGAAGCTCGTTGAGGGTTCTCATCCGTAGACTAAGTTCATAAAACTATTGTTTCTTATGTTTTCTAACTTAATTAAATGAGTTGTTTCATTCATGTCTTGTTGCTAGACAAATATTTTTTATTCAAAATATATATTTTCAAACCTAAGTCATGTCTGCATTGATAAGTTATCTTCGTTGATCCCTCATGACGAACTATGTTATTATGATTCGTGATTAAAGTCATGATTGATTTCCTTTTTATGCTAGACGACCAGGTTCGTATATCATGCATACCCACCTTTCTGATTAAGCACATGAATTATCTTTGTTAGTGACTTATAATTAGGTTTGTGAATTGTTCTTATCCCCACCATGTGACAAACTTCGTGATTTGCCTACCTCGTTCATGATTATGTTTATGGCTTATAAACAATTATAAATTATCGATTTGGTTTGGAACCTTTTCTGAACCTATAAACAATTATAAATTATCGATTTGGTTTGGAACCTTTTCTGAACCACTCATGCATAGAATCACGAGGTTCATAACTAGATGCATACATGGTCATCTTTCAAAAAATTTTTAAATAATTCTAAATTATCGGTTTAGTCCGGGACCTTTTATAATTCACCATTCATGCATAGATTCATGATGTTAATAACCAGATGCATAAGTCATTTTCCACCTGTGATTTGTGATTAAACTCAGTGGTCACCTTTCTGAACTTGCTTGTCATCAAGACTTGTCTTACCAATAACAATGATTTGCACTACATTACTTTTTCTTAGTATGTTTTGGTTATTCTTCAACTCGGTCTTGTGTTTTTTTTTTTACATAACTGTCATTGATTCGTAATCATTGAGTGGTAATTGAGACCGAGTTGGATTCGGAAAGGGTTTATCTCTATGTTGGCAAACTGACTATGAGCGACAAGAAAAGAAAAAAAAAATGTAGAGAGGGAGAAAAAGAGGGAGAAAGAGAAAAAAGGTCTGAAGAGGAAAATTGGAGAGGAAAAAATAAAACATGGAAGACGAGTGAGCGATAATGACACATAAAAGGGTGAGGATAAGTCTTGCAAAAGAGGGAGGTTGTTGCTAGTTAGGTATAAACACCTTTGTTTGGTATTCAAGTTTATGGAGCAGCTTAAACCACTAGTACCTCCGCCAGTGTTGGAAAATTACGATGTTTGGCCAGTACCGAAACTTTTGGGGGGTGGGACATAGGGGCGGCAATGTCCCATAAATCTGAATTTTAATAGTGCCGCGAGTCAACGAAAAAAGGAAAAAAAAAATGCTTTGTACGACAATGATGTCGGGCAGGGTAGTGCAGGAGGTCGTGCTCACAATCTTCCTCCACAGAATGCACCTTACAGATAAGGCGATCACATTCTGAATGTTACTATTTTCTTTTTTTTCTTGGTCGTGTGTTTCTTGTGAGTCTCCTGTCCGTGAATTGCTCAAGTTGTCCGTGATCTGCTCAAGCTGTGTTTTGTCAGAGGATTGTAAGGCTCATCACACTGACACTTAGGGGAATGTATCCAACCATTTTCATGGTCGGATCCATGTGTCCGTTTTTTTCATATTTTATTCTCTTTTTGGAATCTGACAACCTGGTCATGGGGCTGAGATGCCCTCATTGAGGGCATACTCACGCTACCACTTCCAAGAATGTATGCAACTGCAATCACGACAAAAACTTTGTTTCCTTTTTTTATTTTATTTTTCTTTTCTGAGGTTCACGGCCGCAATTTTTTTTTTTTTTTTTTTTTTCTTTTATTTCCATGAGAGTACAAGAAAGAAAACGTAGTGGTTACCAGGGCTCGACAAACTCGACGCGCAATGAAATTAAGGGTCGGCAAAAACATACTCGAAGGAACTGGTGGTTGCATGAAAGTTAAGCGCCTAAGTATTAAGAGGCTTGCTAAGTGGGGGTAATCAAATTGCTATGTGTCCAAGATTGGTGGATCAACAAGCTTTATGAGTGGCTCGTTCTCCTGTCTACGAGATGAGAATCCTTGGAAAAATGAACCCCGACGTTGAAAGTCGACAAGTTTAGGAAGGGAAGGGGGGTTGCTTAGACAGAAGGAAAATATGAAAATGTGGTTATTCAATAAAAAAGAAAATCAATGGGTGAAGAAAGTAAGTTTCAAAAGAACAAAAAAAATAAGTAGTTGGCTGACTACATAATGAGAAAAAGAGGGGGAAGTGTGTTTGTATTTCTCATCCTTAAATGAAAGTGAATGAACCATGATATGCTTTATTTTAAGCTTAAGGATTACATAAGTTGAAATGATTTATTTAAAATTATTTTTTGGACACCCTTTGACTGGTCAAGTCATAGTGAGGACTTGGCGATGCAAAGGGTTGTTTCAAAAATATGCAAACAAACGTCAAAGATCGTCTCCATCACCGACAATTTTGGTTTATTTTGGAATAACCTCTGACTAGCCAAACTCTAACAAGGTTTATCTAATAACTAACTTTGATCATTCGGGCTCCAAATAATTTGGGTTAAAGTGCGGCTCGAGCAAGGGCTGATTGCATTACACGTTTTCTTATTTATTTAGAAATTACCTTTAAACCACCAGTCCTCCTGACGTCAGAAAACCTCAGGGGTACCGGTAGCGCCGTTTCACGACGGGTACCGGTAGTACAGCGTGGAAAATTGGGCGAGCCTCCGTATGGAATTTGCGATAAAAAACAGAAATAAACCAAATCGGCGCGGCGAATATTTCACCGTCAAAATGATTTATTTTTTTTCCTGATATTTTCCCCTGAAAGATCACGACCTAATCTACGGACCCTCAAATTTTTAGACATTTTGATCGTTTTTTATGAGCACATAAAATCGGCAAAGTTGCCGCTTACAAAATGGCGGGATTGGACCCGTCGCCCTCCGAACAACCCGGCGCCTCCGTACGGTCGCCACCCCTCCGTACAACCCAGCCCTAACTCACAGGGACTAGGGGGTTTCGGTGGTGGGGGGACCGGTGGTTTAACCGTTCATACTTCAGTGAGGGGTAGATCAGCCAAAGATGCATTTGGGCAAATACCATTTACTTGCCGAACTTCAATGAGGGATCGGCCGACCAAAGGTTTGTTTCCAGTGAGGACTGGTCATATTTCCTTTTTTTTTTTCTGGAACTGCCTTTGACCGGTTGAACCCCAACAAAGGATTCGCCAGCCACGGGTATATTTTGAAACTGCCATTGACCGATCGGACTCCAGTGAGTGATGGACCGACCAAAGGTCTGCTCCATAGTCCTTAGGTAAAAAGGCGGTTCCAGTGAGGGCCAAACATATTTCTTATTTCATATTTTTAGAACTGCCTTTCACCGGTTGAACCTCAATATTTCGCTTCCCTGAACCAGTTAGGGCAGTTATTTCTCTTCCCTGAACCAGTTAGGGCAGTTATTTCTCTTCCCGGAACCAGTTAGGGCATTTATTTCTCTCCCCTCAACCAGTTAGGAACTTGGGATGGAGATTGATGGGGTGGAAAGGAAAGCCAGATTCCCCCGTCCTGACCCACCGTGGGTGCATTCCTTTTTCAAAACGAGAGGAGCCAGAAGACATATCTGCCGTGGTGCTTCGAAGACGGTAGCTCCCACTGCCACACCGGCCATCGTTACCGGAAAGTAGCGCTTGGTCCTGCTCGGATCGGCGCAGGGCCTGTGGAAGTGCTCCGGTCACAACCCCCGCAGCTGAACCTTGACGCGTTTCACACGAGAACCGCGACCTGAACTTGAACCAGGAACAGACCTCCGAACCACTATCGGTGAGTTTCTGTGGAACTGCAGGCCGGTCCACAGCAATCACCAAATGCAGAGCGGACGGAATTCGTTCTCGGTGAGTCGGCCGTTTGGTGCGGCGGTGCCGCGAGCCAGGCTGCTGTTGAGTTCTCGGACCCAGACTCGGGAGTGGAGAACTCACCCCGAAGATTGTCGAGAAAGTGACTACCGTAATGTCCTCGTTGCATCTGTCCGGATGGTGTTCGTGCGGGGGTTGTAACACGTGGACGCACATTTTGTTTCGAGCTGGAGTCTCACGTAGCCAGGCCAGCCACGAACGATAGTATCCGTATCACGGACTGTGCATTGTGAGCGGGGAAAACGAGAATGGTGGATAGGTGGTCGAGAATGGGGAGGCTGGGGGCGACGATGGCGGAGCGAGGATTAGTGGGGAAGTCGCTGATCCCCCACGCGAGTCGCGTCGTCGAGATCCTGCCGCGTGGCATTGTTGGCGCTGAACCTGAAAGTTCGAACTTACCTCTGATGGGGCCACGTGTGATTGATGGGCGACGTTGTATGAGTACTCGCTCGGACAAGTTCCACAGAAGTGACTCGACAATCAGGAGGTAATGTGACGTGATAGGCCGCTGATCGACCCCTCCTCATTTCCTGTTTCTATCCATGTAATGTGACTGCTCCGCTTGCTTTTTTTTTTTTTCTGTGCCTCTGTGTGTGTGTGTGTGTGTGTGTGTGTGTGTGTGTGTGTGTGTGTGTGTGTGTGTGT